AATTTGAGATATATCCATTTCTAATTGTTTTCAATCAGACTTTGGGCGTGTTAGATGCTGTTTTCAACTCTATGCTACTCAGCATTTAAGGTTTCTAACATAATTACTTTTGGAGGGTGTTACCGGCAAAACACACGGCAAATCCAGCTCAGGCACATGCTGCCACTTGTTCGTTCGCCAGTGAGTTGGCAGGATAACAAGTCTGCTGGTAATTTTGAACAGTAAACCAGGTATGTCTTTGTGAAGTAGGCTTGCACGTTCCATCATTTTGGAAGATCAGCCGGAGAAATTTGCCAATAATGTGGCCATTTCTCACCTTACAATAAGTTATAATTGAACTACTTTAAAACTATTTTTGAAAACAATTGAAAAATTAACTGTTTTCAATGACCACATTTTTCCATTTTGGCAAACTACCATTTTCTTTCTTTTTTGTTTACATTTAGTCATGCAAGATAGTCAGCGCTTGACTAATTTTTAGCAAATTTGCCAAATGTTAGAGATAGAAGGGTAACTATAAATAACTTTTCCCTCTCTTAGATAATTTTGAGTTGGCCATGTGTGCAGTTGAAGCCTCGGCTAATGCCGCTACCCTGCCAAAACTAACCACAGAATGGTAGGATTGTTTCTTTAAACCAACGTGCACGTCGCTATGTTTATGAACTGGAGTGGGAGCGGCCCGAGACCTGCACCTATTGTAGAGTCATTCAACCCAGAACCCAATGCCAATTGTATGGAGTTCCTTTGTAGATAAAAACCAGTTCAGTCGGAACACATTTAACTGAAGCAGTCGCAGCTGTGAAACACCTTAAACCATTTGGGCAGGAGTCTAGGCCCAGTTTTCAATTAAACATTGTACATTTAAACATAATAACTGAGATGCAACTGTCAAACAAACCTTTCTCCAATAATGCATATCAAGGCTTCAAAACACATTTTCATAAAATAAACCTCTGACACAGACTTATACAAGTGTTTTTGAGAGATGTTCTGAGACAGCTGACACCACAGCGTGACCGTATCACTGCAGACCCATGCTGCCATCCTGCTGCTTTACCACATCACCAGTGTTTTGAACTGCATTCTTCTCCACAGCCTGTGGAGGTCACTGCACTGAACTCACTGTCGTGTTCATGTACAACAGTTTGGCACAGATAGAGACAGTACCATCTGCATCACCAGCTGAAAGCCAGATCCAGCAGCCTGGATCTGTGTGCGTGCATGTTTTAGTCTCCATTGGTCCAATGTTGATAGGTCTGTGAATCTAGTGTCTGTTGGTTTACCATAAGGAGTGAGAGACAAAGAGTCTTAAGTGAGGATTTACAACACGTCACGGGACCATGAGGAAACAAAGCTGTAGACAGAAGACGACAAACAAAAGAAAAATAAACCAAACTGCAAGACCTCTGAGGGAAGGAGACTATGTCGTTGAGAAACACAGATTAGACGGTAGAACTAACCAGATGGAGTTGAAAGGCATCAAAAAAATGTAATATCAAACACTTTGAATTTAGAATCCACCAATGAGGAAAACTTAATTCCAGACAAAACAATAACAAACTACAGAACCTGTGAGCCAACAGGAAAAATTCAAAACACACGAGAGAATTCAAGGTTAATTCCATGTACTTTCACACCCACTGCTAATTTACACCTACAATTATCACACTTAGCAAAGAAAGATAATCTGTTAATTCAAGAGGTTTAACTGATGATCTTCTCACCATAAAGATAACAATGCTACACACTTACACTACATACAGTAGCTCCATCTCACAATACACATGCAGTAATACAGTTCAGGTGGTTTGGGGAGAGTGTTCCACTGGGGCCAATCCAAAATCAATTCAATTTATATTGAATTAAAAATTAAATTTCTGAAATTGCGTTGGTGAAATTCATGACACATAGATCTATAAATACCTACTGCCTACAGTCGGATGTGAATGAGTTAATAACCGAGATGCAAAAGGTGACACTGTTTCCTTTATTTAAATTAAATTCTGATAGCTGCTAAAAATCATGTCACACAACTGATCATCATCCAAATGTTTCATAAGGATGTTCGGTCAGATATAAGTTCTGACTGGGCTGGAATTTTTCAATCAGTTCTGGACTGGAGGCACCTGAAGGTTGCTGCATTACCTCAAAAACTGAAATGTCATCAAACAGAACACTGGGATTGCTTTTGTGATTTTAGAGGCAGAAGCTATATTTTCTGTCTGCTGCTACAGACACCTGTATATAACTCGATTTAAGGAGGTAATAAAATGTTCAGAATCTCCCAGACGTAGCTGGAAGCATTCCCCCAGAAAGCATTATTGTCCTCTCTCTTCGACATGTGACGACATCTACAGCTTTTAGATAATACATTACATTTTCACCTATAGAATGTGTGCAGAAACACAGCTATGGTCAAAACTGAAACTTCAGTATTTGGAGCTACATTTGGAGACAGTGATAAATAAAAGTCACTCTGTCTACAGGATTGGTGTAAGAGCTACTTTAAAGGTAAACATCAGGTGAGATCATGAGAACGCTCTGCTGTTTTATAACCCTCTTACAGTTCCTCCCTCGGAAGTTACTTCACATGTGACGTGTTGCTACAACAGTGAAGTGACTTAATGTCCCTGGGTTAAAGACATATAGAAACATACCTGATCATTAAAGAGTCTTTTACCTGTAATTTAGTTAAAGCAGTATTACTGGTGGTAAGTATTACAGTAATACAGCAGGCAGGAACTGTACTGTAGTAGGTGTCATAGTACAGTCTCTCACCTGACATTGACCTGTTCAACTACCTTCATTAATCTGATGAACAAATAAGATTGTCTGTAGACTGTCTGTACTGTGTCCCAGTGACAGCTGACACTGTGTTTACTCTCCTCCTGCAGAACTTAAGCCGTCTGTAGAGCCATGAGTTCATGCCAAAATCAAAGCATTAAAAGCAATGGCAGCCTGAACTTCCATCCATAAGACTGAGGCAGTGACCTTTTTTTTTCATTCAAAAAGGGGAGACCCCACTCCCTCCATCACTGCCTTATAGTCTCCTTAAATGAACCCTCGGCCCTTTTGAACTTCACTTCCTCCACTCAGACACACCAAACAGACAAAGCGCTGTGAACCTGATCCACCGTGCACTCATCAACATGAAGATGTAACTTATTTTCTCATTAAAGTCCCTCGAGCCTCTGAAAATACTTAAATCGGACTTTTCTATAAAATATGTTTGGCAACTTGAACTGTTTATGAAATAGTTTCATGTATTGATTTTTAATTTAAGTTTTTTTTCAGTATTTGAATAATCCCCCCAGGGGTTTAATAAAACCATCAGTGAAACACCTCACTGCTTAGAACACACAGGAACTGTTTAGTTCACCTGTGAGAGGGCGGTTTTTGTACTTGCTCAACACCCCACATTCCTGTCAGTGCTGGGATTTGAACCAGCAATCTTTAGAGTACAAGCCCAATTCCTTATCTTAAAGAACTCTTGTGTATTTGAAAACGAGGGCATCTCTATTCCTGCCTATCTTCTGTAAAATTTACAAAAGGGAATTTGATTTTTTCTAAATAAAATAAAATAAAAAGTATCAAAGGGATCACATCCGTGCTCCGTGAGGTCAGTTGGATTTCTGTTAATACACTTTGATGTCCATACGGAGCCGCAGAAGCCTAAAATGCGACACGGGAGAAGTTTGATTGTTGTCGTGGCTGACTCTCAGATCTGACGTGTGTTTGATGCTGCAGCTGAAACAGATGTGGTCTGTCAACTCTGCAGGTGTTATCCTTCTTCTTCCACTACTGTGTCTAAGCTTGTGTGTGTGCACATATCTAAGTCTGTGTCAGTGTGTGTGTATGTCTGCAAGAACAATCAAGGAAGGATGTCCCCTCGCAAACAACCTGCCACCCACACACACAGCCTCACAGCTGCTCCAGTTTTGTCGTCTATTGTAATTTGGACTTGTGTACAAGCTTTGGTTCTGCTTCAGTGCCATCCTGACATAAAAACCCACAACAGACAACAACAATAAATGGCACTGATGATTGTTCACCAGATTTTAAAATGTTCCCTGTGATACATTAACAACAGCAGCAGCATACAAAGGATTTCAATGGAATGGAATAAGTAATAGTTGAGCAAATAAGGAAATTTTAAAAATCAATAACTGACAGATAATACTAGCAATAGATAACTACAATAGATAACAAAATGGCTACAATTGTCCAGTAAATTAGCCCAAAAATAGTTGTACTTAAGCCAAAAGATTGATATGCATTTAGATGTTGGTTCTGGAATTTCAAAGTGGTTATGGGGGGCAGTTAAAAAAATAAATAATAAAGAATAAATTACAGGTTATAAAACTCCACTGACAGCCTGGATGACAGATCAACAGATATTGAACAAAATAAAGACAAGAAAACAATGAGAATTTCAACATCTCTGGGGTTGTGAATATATTCTTCCTATTAAAGTTGACATTCAAGATGATGTCCAATTCACATGATAAATAAGAATGAGCCCTGAGGAAATACTGAAGTCATTCAATAAAAAATAAACTCCAATACAATATCTTTACCATTAAAACTTAGGAATAATGAATTTGCCGGACCCAACTACTCAAGTACCCTTGGAATGATACGATAACAACAGTACAAGTGTTGTGATTACATACAGGTGTGCATGTTGATTTTATCTCTAGTATCTGAATGAAATCTGTGTTTCGCTCCAGATTTCACATCAACTCCATCAACACAAACCCTGTTCCTGAACTCACTCATTCAATAAACAAATCACCAAGGAATAGTTTTACCTGCCTCCTGTCATAGCACAACCAGCTTCTGGGAGATGGTTTCAAGGATTATAAATGTTTTCATTTAATTAACAATCCAGATTTAAGTGAGATCAAACTAGCCCAAATACAAAAAAAAACTACGTCCAATCAGAGACAGGCAGGTAGACAAACACAAAGTGTGTGCAGCAGGTTGTGTTTGAGTCTTACCTTGTGAGACTACCGCCGTATGTGCTGGTGTGTGTGATTTTAGTCCATGCGGTAAAGTGCTTCCTGAGCCCTCCACCTTTACTCTGCATGAGGTACAAGTAACTCCCAAGTTAAAGGAGGAGGGAAAAGGAAAGCCCCAGCTCCTCCTCCCCTGGCACTAAGAGCAAAGTGCAACTTCCTGGTGTACAGAATGGTGGGGTCAGACTCTTTGAGGGTTAATGCAAGTACTGCCAACAGTCACTGTGCAGGTATAAGAGTGGGCTCATAAAAGGACACTCTGCAGCAGGTTACAGTACACCTAACAGGCTCAGAGAGCAGCAGTGAGGAAACAAAGGAACTGGTTCTACAGCCTGTCGGCTGGATCACAGCGGAGCTGCTGCTGTGTGAGTGAAGATTTAAAATTACTGCACACAGCTAATCAAGTGGAATAAAAAATAAGAAAAAAAAACACAAGATGTAAGCAATGTGGTATTGGTTTTAGTCTGCATGTTGCTCCCCTTTCTATACAGCAGATGGTGCTATCAATTCACTATCATACCCTGGCATGAGTTGAGTTAATTGGTACATTATTGTTCTGTGTAAACCTAATCGCTCTTTCATTTGAAGGAGGCATCACAATGAGCAATGAGCATTAACTGTCCATTAAATGCAGTTTATCGGAGCTTTTGTTAAACTGTTCACCTCGGATAATTTTGTGATAAATACATGACAATAAGGTTCTATTGTGAACCATAACCCACCTACTCTAAACTTATTGTATTCATTATGGATTTTATTTAAAAATGTATTATTTTAGCCTAATCTTGACCTCCTAAGATGGGGTAAACTTAGCTTTTAAAGCTGCTCCACCTCCTTTCACCTAGTTCCTTTAGTTCCTCTCTTTCTCTGACTAGTTCGTTTTAGTAATATAAAGTTTAGGCTTCATTTAGGGGTACGTCTAGACACGTTACAGTTAATGTACTGTACATGCTGTGCTTAGGGTAGCATGTAATACGATTTATATCTACTTGTAGTGTGGACCTCCAGCCTGAAGGGGAACCATTACATATATTTTTTCCCGACACCGGAAGAAATATGAATAGACTGTCGTAAAGTGTAACAATAAATTGTGCAGAGCGACAAGTTATCTAGGTTGTTGATGCTTTCTTAATTTTCAAAATCATTGTAAAATAATTTAAATGTATTAAAAAGAGACTTACTCGAGCTGAAGTGTAACAGGATTAGGTTAGCGAAACATCTGTCGTATTTGACAGGACTGACGGAATGTTGACATAAAAGCTTTCTTTCAACTTTCTTACTATCACCTCAGAGTCATTTTCTGTCAGAAGAGTCAATTTTGACACTAAATGTATTTTAAATATATCCACGAACGTAACATTCGTAGCGTTTACTCGCCTCTGACACCAGATGGTGCTATCAACTCACTATCGTACCCTGGCGCATTAGTTTAGTTTATTGGTACATTATTGTTTTGTGTAAATCTAATCTCTAGTCAAAACATTTTCATTTGAAGGAGGCATCACTTAGCAATGAGCATTAACCGTCCATTAAATGCAGTTTATCAGAGCTTTTGTCAAACTGTTCACCTCGGACAATTTTGTGATAAATACATGACAATAAGGTTCTATTGTGAACCATAACTCACCTAATCTAAACTTATCGTATTCATTATTGATTTTATTTAGAAATGTATTATTTGCGCCTAGTCTTGACCTCCTCTTTTGGGAGAGGGGTAAACTTACCTTTTAAAGCTGCTCCACCTCCTTTCACCTAGTTCCTTTAGTTCCTCTCTTTCTCTGACTAGTTAGTTTTAGTAATATAAAGTTGCATATTTAGGGTACGCCAAGACACGTTATAGCTAGTATACTGCACATACTGTACTTAGGGTAGCTTCTAATACGATTTATATCTACTTGTAGTGCGGACCTCCATCCTGAAGGGGAAGCATTACATATATTTTCAGCCAGACACCGGAAGAAATATGAATAGGCTGTCGTAAAGTGTAACAATAAAAGGTGCAGAGCGATAAGTTACCTAGGTTGTTGATGCTTTCTTAATTTTCAAAATCATTGTAAAATAATTTAAATGTATTAAAAAGAGAATTACTTGAGCTAATTTAAATGTATTAAAAAGAGACTTACTTGAGCTCACGTGAAACAGGATTAGGTTAGCGTAACGTGTCATATTTGACAGGACTGACGGAATGTTGACATAAAAGCTTTTTTTCAGCTTTCTTAATGTCACCTCACAGTCATTTTCTGTCCGAAGAGTCAATTTTGACACTGGGTGTATTTTAAATGTATTCATGAACGTGACATTCGTAGCGTTTACTCTCCTCTGACACCAGCGGTCTGGTGTTACGACGATGCCTCTCTTCCCTGCGAACCAGTCCCAACTAATTTGAAACAGCTTTTGAAACACTCGCCGGTGAGTTTTTCTTGTTGATTTGTTTTTTTCTTAACCATACTTTAATTGCTTTGTCATTTGTTGCTTCCTAGCGCTAAATGTCTCTTTTCCTATTTTATCTTTAGAGAAGGCGCAAAAAATCTCATATTTTTGTAGTTGCATGTCAGTAGTTGTTAACGTCACTGCACCCGATAACCTGCCACCATCTCACCTTTTTGCCAACTCGTTATTACACTAACCCTCTTCATGTTGTTCTAACTACCTAAAGGTAATGGAAACTCAGCTGCCATCGATTTAATTATGCATAATTCATTTACGGAGATGAATAAAGTCAAATATCTTTAAAAATAAAAAATAAAAATAGTTTAAAGAGACAGAGGAAATAGTGAATATATATTGGACACCGTATGTTGGAGATGGGGCTATGGGGCTTGGACACCGTATGTTGGAGATGGGGCTACCAGGCAAGAGGAAAACGGAAAGACCCATGAGAGGATTTGTGGATTTAGTGAAAGGGGACATGGAGGTTGTTAATGTGAAAGTAGAGGAAGCAGGAGATAGGGTGGGATGGAGGCATATGATCTACTGTGGCAGCACCAGAAGGGAACAGTTGAAGGGGAAAAAAGACATTGACAATCACAGTTGTTTTGGTCTGGAAACATGACTTGTTATACCAAAACTTTCCTCCTTCACAGCCCAGCTGTTGGTTCTGAAGGTCTAACAACTGCACACAATGTCTTCTGCATCTGAGGTTGCCATGTCGGAAATGAGTGAAGTGGTGATTGTAACTATGCCAGAGTGTGTGAGTGAGGATTTAACCCCTGTGATGGAGGAGGATAAAGGAGTGGTGGTGACTGCAGAGATGATGCCTCAACCAGGGTAATTGTCCACAAACTGTATAGTGTCAGTTTAAAAAACACTTCTGAGTTAAACAAGAAGTTGTAATGTTTTGCAACAAGGTAAAACAAAAAAAAATAACACTTTATGATTTTCTTTCCAGGGATGAAGTCCTGAGTGTGGAAGCAGTGGAGACAGATGCTGATGTCAGCAGATCAGATTCACTCTTAAAGGAAGAGGAAGTCATTGGTATTGTGCCAGAGTTATACAGTAACATCATGTCACATTTTAAAATGAATTAATTGTAACATTTAACATGTAAATTGTTCTTTTATTTTGTTTGATCAGATGTTGATATGAAGGTGGATGTTGAAGCTGATGTTTTCTACCCCATCACCTGTGGAGATGCCAAAGCTACACTGATCTGGAAGAAGTTTGTGTGTCCTGGGATCAATGTGAAATGTGTCCAGGTAGGACTGTTAAGAGACAGCACAGCCTGCATGAAATCTACTCTGTAAAAAGAAAATAACTGATAATAATCAAAACTCTACAACATTATTTATGTCTTTTTATTAGTTTAACGAGCAGCTCATCAGCCCTAAGGAGTTTGTGGGTTTGGCAGGAAAATCTACTCTAAAAGACTGGAAGAGAGCAATTCGCCTCAATGGAACTATGCTCAGGTCTGGATGAACAGGAAGTCTTTCTCCTGCCTACTGCTGAAAGTTTTCCAATTCTGCAATACATTAGTTATTAGCTATTCTCCATGCTGTTATTAGCCCTTTGTCCTCCATATACTTGTGTGAGCCAAAAATAAATGTGTAATTGTCTGATTACTGGTCTATGTGTAGTTGAAAAACCTGCCTTAGGGTGGCAGTGTTGTATTACACATGGTTGTAAATATGTGCAGTGTGTCCAGATGATGTGTGAAAAGGCCTCATTACATGTTCTTTTGCAGGAAGATCATGGACTCAGGTGAGCTGGATTTCTACCAGCACGCTAAGGTCTGCTCCAACACCTGCCGCAGCACAAAGATCGACCTGGTGGGAGCTAAAGTGTCTGTCAGCAGTGACACGTCCACTGATCTGGTGCCGGCCACGCCCACTTCAGCTGATCGTGAGTTTGTGCAGTTTTAGTGTCTGCATATGATGCTTCAAAATCTCTTGAAATTAACTCACCTCAGCACGCAGTGAAACAGACACGCTGGTCTAATTCTAGTGTCTCTTGTTTGTGTTGCAGTAAATGGAGCCGCAGCTTCTTTTCCTGATACCACAGAGGAAACTTCAGAGTGGGTCACAGCCATCGGAGGTGATCAGTTACACTGTCTAACACAAACACACTCACTATTAAGAGAAGTGAAGTGGTTTTCATTTTTTTCTGTGTCATCTCATCATTAGAGGACACTGTGGTGTTCTGGCAAGCTGTAAAAGATGCAGGGCTGTTGGAGGAAGTGGTGGAGAACTTTCAGAAGGAGCTGGAGGAGGTGTTGAAGGGGCTGCAGGAGAGAGTATGCAACCCACCTCTACAGGTCAAAGGTTAGCAATTAGCACTATGACCGTTTGACTTGAACTACTTAAAATATCTGTTTTTACTCTTTGAGACCAAAACTATACCTGGTCTTCAGAAATAGTTGTCTAATGGCAAGAAAAATATTTTTTTATGATGAACATTATTTATTTTTGTGGTTTGCCTCCTTCTGTCCTTAGTGGTGACCATGCAGTAATGAGTTTTAAATAATTCATTTTGTATTTTCAGATGCTGTGCTTCTCAACAACATAGTGCAGAACTTTGGAATGTTGGACCAGGTGAAGAAGGTTCTTTCCAGTCATAAGAACCAGATGGACCGTTATAGAGAACAGTACACTCGCAGCCTTGCTGGTCAGTTACAGACTTTTCATCAGTCTCAACCGCCTGCTTCTAGATCATGTTAAGGAAATACAGTTAGATAAACACTGTGTGTTTTCTCTGCCCCTCTTCAGCTCTGGAGCAGCAGTGTGACGAGCACAGGAAGCGAGCCAAAGAGCTGAAGAGTAAATCCCAGCACCTCAACAGTGTTCTGATGACCCTCGCCCCAGCACCTGCCCCGTCCCCGCCAAAACGCCCTCGGCTGACCCGTACTGTGTCTAGTCCAGCAAAGGTCAGTGCTGTTCCCACCCAGATCACGCTGCCTCTAAATCAGCTGACCAACCTGCCACTGGGCAAAGTTCTGACCATGGCAGGAGATCCAGCCAGCACCAACCTGGGTGGGTACACGCTCCTGACCTCTGCGCTTCCTGGGTCCGAGCTAGTCCCCGACGGCTCCAGCGTTACTGTGCTATCCACGACGACAGGTCAGGAGGACACAACCGATGGCACCTCCACCTTCGTTAAGGTGCTGGGTCCTCAGTTCCAGCTGGTCACGCTTCCATCTACGCTCCAGGGCCTGGCCTCCACTCAGGGCATCAGTGTCCAACAGCAGGTGGCAAATATCAGTGTGGTGGAGGCTTCTGCAGCCGCTGTGGATGATGCACTGGATGAAGCTCAGGTGGACGGTGGAGACTGTGAACTTCAGCAGACTGACGTGATAGAAGAGACGGAGCAGGAATCTGAAAAGCAGTTAATAGAAGCGTAGAGATGCACACGAATATGAACTTTTTGGGATTTGGATTTTAAAAAAAAAGAGGAACATGAATACAGAGTCCGTTCAGAAACTACCTGCTTCTCCAAAATAATGAGTTATTCCTTTTTTTGCATCATTCGGTGCCATGCTACAGACTTCTTCAGTGTTATTAGAAATTTGTACAGATAGATTTATGTGATTGCTTCGTGTAGCGAAAACAGAACCTGTTATTTTCTCGTATGAATCTTTTCATTTGCCCTAATGTTCGTGCACAGAGGCATGGCTACAGACCCTATATTGAGCTAAGTCTTGAGCAGAAAACGATTTTACGCTGAAGAATTCATTGTTTTCTTAATAACTTGCTCCGTTGGTATTGAAGTGCGTAACAGTTTGTCGTACAGTAAATTGGCTGATTTCCATTGTTTCAGAGGTGAGGAAAAATACCTTAAGTGGCGTGATGCTAATTTGCCACAAGATGGCGCAACGGCTTAAATTTTTCAGTCGTTACCGTGATCAGACATTACCTGCGTGTATGTGTCTGTTTTGGCGTCGACACATTCATCACTTGCATTAATGCTGTAGACATTGAGACAAGTGTTCAATGTGTTTCTCCATCTGTGTTTATTCTCTACCACTAATTCATGTTGACTGTTCAATCCCACACTGAGCTCTGCAGCTTCGTCTGTTTCATCTGTTCCGCCTGTCGCTGCTTTCCGCGTCACTACAACCTGAATATTTTGATACGAAACAATATTTTCTGTGTATAATTACAAATATTATAATGTGAAAACATCGACAAAAATTATGAACGATTTTCTTAACGCACATCGCACAACTGCCTGTCGTTTTACCACCTCTATTATGTTATATACTGTCTGTGATTTTGTAGAAAAAGTGGAAATTCCCCGTTTGTGTTTGAGCTGTTAAAGAAAATTACAATAAATTTAGGCTTAAAAAACAAATTAGCACTGTCTACACCGATCACTGGGTTTTTCCAAATATTTTATAACTTCATTGTTATAATAATACGATGTCATGTTGACACTGTGATACATTGTTCAACTCAATATCTTTGCAAAAAGTAATTTAATCTGAAATTTGACTGAAAAAAATCACCTCCATGTACCTTAATACAATATTTAAAGTTTTGTTGTTTATTTTGTGGGAAACTGAAACGCTACGTTTTTAAAACATTTTTCACCTTAAAGTGACAAAGAAGCTCGTCTCATAGAAACAGCAGAACTGAGTCATTTTACTCCTATTTCAGGGAGGGAACGGGAACTCTCTGTGATCTGCAGTGCAGTCCTGGTGGAACCACACTCACTGGAGCGGTGTGTTTTCATTTCCTGTGACCCGGCAGAACAGAAACGCTTTAATTCACGACTTTTATTAAACAAGCATCCTTTAATGGAAGAGACTCAAACGCCAATAACACAGAGATGTTACACAGAAGGCAACTGTGAGGCTACAAGCAGGATTATATGCAGGCATATGAGGGTGATGAAGAAGAGATGCTGAAGACGTATCTGTGGATTGGACCGTGCTTTTGTCAAGTGAAACCTGTGTGAACTCCTTCCTCCTCCTCATTTAGTCCCTCTTATAGACTCAGGTCGTCATAGTAGGAGTACAGCGGCTCCTCCACCGAGCGTACGGAGATCTTGAAGTGGCGCCTCAGGAAGCCTCCGTACCTCTTGTCCCACTTCAGGTTGTTCAGCTTTGGTCGGATCCTCCTCATGAAGCCTCCGTAGCGCTTCTGCAGCTCTTCGGGTTCTTGGCTGTCTTGTTCCTCGGCGGAGCTACTCCGCCGAGTCTTGGGGCCAAATTTGCGTAAAAAGCCGCCGTATCGTTTGCTATAAGGGCGCAGCACCTGTGGATCCTCCTGTGGCTGCGGCGGTGGCAGAGCGTCCACCTCCCGCTCCTCCAGAACCTTCATCAAGTCCTCGTACTTCTTGGGCATCAAACCCCCGACTTTCACCACGTAGTTGTCTCGCCACGGCTGCAACGCAGCAAAGATCTTGTTCTTGTTTTTGTCGATCCTTTTGATGAAGCCTCCGTAACGTTTCACCAGCTCCGCCTGCTCCTCCCCACCTTGCTCACCCTCCTCCTCCTCCGCCTCACCTGCAGATTCATCCTGGCTGAAGTCTGCCAGTCGGGTCCGAGGAGACTGGACGCAGTTCTGAAGCTGCTGGACATCACACTCTGTGCTGCAGGACTGCAGGGGAGGAAGAAGAAGAAGAAGAAGAACAAGAAGTGAGATGGACGGAAGAGGTGGAGAGGCAAATGAAGAGGGGGGACAGGAGTTAGAGGGGGAGACAGGAGTTAGAGGGGGGGACAGGTGTTAGAGGGGGACAAAGACTAGATGAGATACACAGATGACCGAGGTAGACCAGGTAGCGGTGGGGGTGGGGGTCGAATGAGACGGTGGCAGGAGAGGGTGCGACAGGGAGACCTAACTTTAAAACCGAGTCGGTGATAAGCCCTACAATCATGACCTCGACCCAAACATTTACCTGAACTTTTCTGCTGTTTTCCTAACGTGTTCAACCCCGGAATGTTTGGCCTCATTTACTACTAGACTTTGTTTGGATCCCTAAGGAAAAAGACTGAAACAGAGGTGAGGAGACACTTCTTACCAGACTGTTGAAGGTGTCCGGGCTGAGGAGCTGCAGCTGCGCACATTTCTGACACTGTGAGGAGCAGTCGGAGTGGATGGAGTGAGGCAAAGTCAGGATCAGCACCAGGACATACCACTCCATTCTTCACCTGGACACTAACACACACACACACAAACCCAGATTACAGATGTAGAAGAACACCAGAGGACAAGGAGACAACCCATCAAAATAAACTGTGACTGTGGAGAAAGTTAGTTGTCATGGTAACATATACGCCGCCTTTAAAACCAGGACTGTCTGACCATAAACCGCTGATGACCACCCAGACCGCAGCTCAGTGCGTAATTACGCACTGGTGCCAAATCTTTTTCCATCAGCTTTTATCCACTTAAACCGTGCAGGAAATCATTAAACTTGCTCCTAATTGACAGTTTTAGGAAGTTAAGGAAAGAAAAATAAAGTTTAAGGAAGTGTACCTCGGGACTTGGATGAATACTTCCAGCCGCGTTGGACTCGCAGAGTCGCATCCACTACCAAACGGAACTTCGCCGCGTCGGATCCGAACTGTTGCGCTCTCCTGCGCGACGCGTCGCGGTTCCTTTTTATGTCGTCGGCTCCCACCGTGTCACCGCAGCGCATCACTGCCGCTTCTATTCACGGACCAATGGGATTGAAATGAAGTGCGTAAATAATGGCACCGCCCACAGAGGCTCCAGGAGTTTGGACGACGCCCACACAGGGAAGGTGTAGGGGAGGCAGCAGAAGCAGCAGCAGCTCACTTCTTCATCTTCATCATCATCATCATCATCATCATCATCATCATCATCATCATCATCATCATCATCATCATCATCATCATCATCATCATCATCATCATCATCATCATCATCATCATCATCATCATTTGCTTAGCCCTCCCTGTCCAATGTCCAATGTTCCAGAACCTTAAAACCTTTCATACAATGGAAAAAAATATGTTATCTTATGTTTTGTATTTGAATTTATTATTGGTGTCATTGCAGTATTGATGTTTTCCTCCTTGAATCACTGCTTGTATTTGGCCAGAGAGACTCGTAAAGTCTGAATCAGGGTCTGGTTAGATTTCAGAGAGAGAAGAAATGATTTACAGGAGTCCGACTCTCTGATCAGACTGAATCATTTCACATCCTTTCGCCTCTTGTACATGTTTTTATTGTCTTTGGTTTAATTTACAAACTTTTATTTCTCTGAAAATGTGAGTTAGACAAATATAATATCATACTAAAACATTAGATTAGATTAAAGTATTATTATGGCTACATGGAGTTATAAAATACCAGCAACTTTTTCTCTGACCTTTTGACCTACTTGCCGGCTGGTTGAGTAACCCACATATCTTTTTTCTCAATACCTTGAATATGACTAACCAATTGACCAAGCTTTTAACCCATGAAACAAGTACTACACGACCAAGTACTCGCTAAATTTCCTTGATTACCACCATGCGTTTGTACCAAATCATTAGCCTCCCCATCAATTAAATTATCAACTAGCCTTTGCTGCTACCTTCTGATCTGCCAACCTACATCTGACCACTCGCCTGATCCCACGACAATATTTGAAAAAAACATGTTAAAATAAAGAAATATATCAGGACTGGAACTACAAGAGTGAATCTGATAGAAAATCAAAGTACAAACTTTGAATAAAAGCTAAAAAACATGAATAGAAAGATCAGAACCAGCACAGGTTCTATCAGTGCTGGTTCTAGGTTGAAATGAAATGAAACCTTAATAACGCAGAAAACTCTTCTGGTGTCTGAACACGAGTGAGAAATGTCCAGAACATCAACACCCACGTGGTCAGTAAATACCTCCAGGTCGCTTTGTGTATGAGACAGGGCCGCAGTGAGTGTTCTGAGGGGTACAGTGGGAGGCAATGATACACAGTACAGCGCAGCCTCATCCACATCTCAAGGCCGAGGCCTTTAGAGACTCACTGACAGACCAAGGTTATTCTATGAGACCTTGCAGTTCAGTTACAGTGAGGGAATGAAGACGAGCACTGGAAGAAAATATGGACAACAATATGATTCATGCGCAGAAAACAGGAGAGTTAGTCTGATATTAGATCTAGTCTATCTGAAAGGAGTGATGGAAAAATAACTGTTGATTGAGAGTGTTAATTATCAAAGCCACCTCATCCCCCCCGCACCCCCGAGCTACCGATATTTGATTTAATTTTCACATTTTATTTTACTTTGTATAAAGAATGAATCACTGACGATAAAAATGAACCTCTGTAGCTATGACTACAGTGGTCAAAATCCATCGCTTACTACACTTAGCTTCAGCTTGTTTTTCCATCACAGAGGTTGCTGCTCAAAGGGTGCTATTGTTAGATTTGCACTACGTAAACTAAAAAATGTCTAATTAAATAAATACAGTATAAATGTGTAAAATTGTACATATATGACGGTATATGTTGGTAATGAAATAGATATATGGAAACACTTACTGTGAATAGTTTACCAGAGATAAAGACATACATTTAAAATATATGGAGATCTAGATAGATGTTTCTAGAGTAAGTGAAATATATGTCGATGACAGAGATGTAGAAATATTGAGGTGTATACGGATGTATATACTAATGTACAGTTCAGACATGAATATGGATTCTTATCTATATATGATGTAGAAACGTATTGCTGTAAACATATTAGAGATTCTTTTGTTGTTGACAAACGCACGTGCTGCTCTGCTGTAGCCGTGTGTCATGAATGAACACCGACTGACAAAACCTTCGATGGCTTTATACAGCCTACCTTTCATACACCGACTGAGACTCAGGATGAGAAGCTTTTCATAATAAACTGAAAGAAAAAAATACTCAAGTTGCTTTGAGAAATACATTTTTTCCTACAGTGAATCTTTGACACGTCAAACGTTTCCCTTTGAAAAATACACAGATTCAAATGGGAGAAGGATGACCTTGAGTTTAAGGCTCCTCACACACACACCTGCAGTGCACGCCGTGACAAACCATTCTCACAGCTTATTTAATACATATTTCAATATATATGAAGACAAAGCGTTGTGAGCTCTCGCCCTGTCTTTATGGGTTTGACCACTAAGTGTTTGAGCATCACGTTATCCCATCCTTAATGAGACAGAGTCTTTCTGCATTAAGGTTCCTAGGCAACTCAGAGTGGAATATCTCTGAGTCAGTCCTCTTTCTGTTTTGTTTATATCTACACGTGATATGAACTCATGAACTGATTTATCAGTTCGTCCTATTGTTATATATTAACTGTCCTTCTGTGATGATCCACTCATCCAATTAGTGTCCATCACCTACAACGAAGCTCAGACACACTGCTGTAAAGGTGTTAGTGTTTAATTGACAGAATGTAAATTATAGCAACGCTTAATTTGTTGAAATATCCTTTGGTCATTTCCTACTTCTTCAAAGTGGGGATTTTCAAGTTCCAGCTGCCTCTGAAACCAAATAAATAATATAAAATAACAGAAATCTATATATATATTATTTATTACTATTTATTATTATTTATGTACTTTTGTATTTTGTATGTTTCCTGTAGCTTTATTGTTGAATGACTGACTCAAATTGTATGTTGCTTTGAATAAAAGCATCTGCTAAATGTAATGTAATGTTAAAAGAGTAAATAAAAGTTGTGACATCATCATCTGTCAAGTTTCTCTTTTTAAACAAAGAGGAAAGCACGCAGCGTGTTTTAAGTCTGACCTTATAAGGTAAAATGTCTTAAACACCAACCAATGTCAACGCAAAGTTTGAGAAAACCAGACCGATGAATTTCTGCTATAAATATTTTTACACTCAGCCCAACATTCTTATAAATTTAGGACAATATTGACCAGCCCTGACATTAAGACGGCGTTTGTTCCTGGACCTTTTATGGTGAGTAAAATCGAGTGCTTCATAAAGAACGGGTCGTGAAAGGTTCAGGTGAAGTTTGGGTCTGCAGGCACGGCTTGAATGTGACAAAATCGGATTAAAAGAATCTTTTATTGACTCCTTTTCTCTTGTTTTGCGTCTTCGCAGTGAGCCGTCTCGAGATGACTAATTCACCCGGAGACAACAGTCAGCTGACAGATCAAGGTCAATGTGTGGAAATAACTGAAAGTGAGGAGGAGTTTGCCGAGAACATCAGTCCTAAGGAAAATAGTACCTATGTAATTATAGTGGAATACTAATGTCTAATGTCCGTACAAAAATGTGCAGAATGAAAGGATTATTTTTGGATTAAAAGCAAATCGGTCATCATCTACTTTACTGACTGAAAACTCTCTTCTCACTGACAGCTAAAAGAAAGAAAAATAGTGTTTTGTCAAACTTTCATTAGTGAAAGCCTCCGCTGTATTAAAGGAAACAAATGCTTTCAGGCCAAAACACGAGTTAGTATTCATCTTTTCTCCTCTGAGATGTCATTAGAAATAAAAGTTTTTACGGCTAATGGTGTCGTAAAATATCAGACTTTTAGTTATGCACACAGGGATCACCGACTCTCGCATAATGAATGGACGTATTATGATATCGTAGAATTCAATTATCTGCGCCCTGCGACCCCAGCTTCATTTGTACCGTTTTAATTCCGCGCATGTCACGTTAACATAACAGTTCAAAAATATCAGAACTTTCTGGTTCGCACATGGAGGAGGGTGAGGAGTGAAAGGATTGCTAATGGCATGAAACCAAGGTGTAAAATAACAGAGAGACCCCCAACTGTCAGTGTATCACAGTTTGAGATCCAACCAAAGAATACTGACTGTAGTATAAGGAGGACAGTATCGAGCACAAGTAAGTGTTTGTCTTTTCCTTTAGTTATGACACACCGGAGAGGAAGACCTGTTAGCAACCAATCGAATGAGACACTGATGCTAAGGCGGTGGCGTGTTCTTATTTCTTCTGTTGTTTTTCTCATTAATGATTGATGTACAGATATTCTGTTGATCTATCTTCTCACGGCTTCTTAAACACATGGTGAGAACTTTTTTTAAAAAGTTTTGTCGCTTATTAAAACACCAGAACTGCAATGAGTCCCACGATTTGAGTAATAAAAATGTTTACATTTTCAGTTGATTCCACTACTTTTCTGCGCTTCTGGTCCTGTGCACATTCCTGGTGTGCAGGCACAAAGGCACTTCAAAACACTTTAAAGCAACAATACATTGGGAAGGTAGTGGATTGTTGGTTTTCCAGAGCTCCTGAACTGCGATATATGCGACTTTCATATCATATCTGTCTGATTTAGTGTGGTTGTTGATGACAGCAAACCAACAGTATGACATGAACATGACAGCGTTACACTGTGAGCCCTTTATTCCCGCCAAGTTTAAATGTAATCGCATGATTCAGTAAAGACAGAAACCACCCGGGATCATTTGTATATCAGCCAATAAGAGATCATTCTAATCAAACCTTCTCATACACACGTCCATGCACACACGCTGACCTGCACACACACACACAAAACTCAGTGATGTGTGTGCCTGCGTGTTTTATAAACACTCTCCCTTCCTCTGTTTGAGTTTGAGTAGCCTTGTTTGCATTTACATTCTCCAGTAACCTGGATACACCTACATCTTGCACAGAATCTCTCACGCTCTCTCTCACACACACACACACA